TAAATGGAGAGAGGACTCTCCATTATATATATAGATTCCATGTACCAAATATCTGCATCATAAGCTTTTTGAACCTTAATTCTCTGAATTTGAATATAATAAACTGCTTGTTGGTTATAAGTGATTTGTAATGGAGAAAGCATTCCACCGCAACATTCATCCGATTCTACGAAAATTATCCCAACAAAAAAACATTCATGCGTATCTTTGAACAACAACGATTTTTAAATGGGATCAACATAAGGCCATGTTGGCTTCAACTTTTTTTAAAAAAATTGTATTCAACAAAAACATATGTTTTACATTAAATAGTGCAACTTTGTTGTCTTGTTTCGAATAAAGGCATAATCCATTGTTTGGTTTGATTGAGTTTTAAAACATCTGATAAACTTTACATCAATAATCTGTAAGAAATTGTGTTCCCAAAGAATCATACTCCAGACCTCATATAAAAATCTATAAATACTTAACCATTAGTCAAGGGACTTCCACCATATTTGGGTTTTAAGCAACTATGTTTATAACTTTTTGGTCACTTTCTTTTGTCCTTCCTACTTTCAAAAGAACATGGCCCAAAGCAAATATGGAATTTCAATTTTGAAATTAAGAACTCACACTTTTCAATTTTTATTTTTGTATTTGTGGCATAGTTTGCTCGTTTGCTAGTTTACATAATCTCTTCTTAAAAAAAAAAAAAAGATTTTATAGGTTTGGGCCATAACTACATCATTTGGGCTTCAAAAAAATGAAAAGATATTTGTTATATGATGCCCAATAAGCATCTCTTTGCTAATCAAAATGGAAAATGATAAGCTCTGTAACTTCTAGCATGCCTGTCTGTCTCAGTCATTAGCTAGACGCGATGCAGTGGTGAAAATAAACACCTTAAGTAAAAAATAATTTTTTTTAAGGATCCGTGTATATCATAACAATGATATTGCTTGTCAGCCACTCAAAGACAAAGACAACATTGTTCATGAGGCTCATATTTATTCTTTTTGTCACTGTTTTTCTCGTAGTGCACTTCTGCATTATCGTTACAAACTATCTGTAAGCAATCTTTCCTTCCTAAAACAAGAAGAACAAAATGTCATTGGTCTTTCCCATATAATCACAAAGTCAAAGGATATGTATGCATACAGATCTCTCCCATTGTCTTGATCGATTTCGTTGATCACATCTTTTAGAAAGACATCACTCATCCCTAGTTCATCACACGCCTACTATAGCTCATTGATTGTGATGTAACTGCTGCCTTAGAAAAAATACAGGGGAAAAACATACATTGTTCAAGTGAATAATAACATTCTATTTACATCTTTTGAAACAAAATCATCAATCAAAGTTTTCACATCTAAATCTTCCAAAAACTCATTCTTAATAGTCATCAAAGCTAGTATATTTAATCTGTCTTGCGGTATATAAGTCCTCAAATATGACTTCTATAGCTTGAGTTTGGAGAAACTTATTTCTGCTGAAGCAACTGTAAGTGGAATAGTTAGTAAAATTCTATATGCAATTTTAGTATATGGAAAACGAACAAAAGATATAAGAAAATTTATTATATCACGCGCTCCATTTTTTCATTTGGTAAAAGCTCATTGAAAAACTTTAGCTTAATAAAAAGTTCATCTCCAACAATGTCTACTAAATTCACCATTTTCAAACTCTTTTCTAAATAACCACAATGAGAAATTAAACTCACATCATCACACATTTTCAATTTAGTGGAATCAAACAAAAGAACAAACATCTTTTACATATAATTGATATTGTTCAAACCTTTTGTTAAATGAACTAACAGCATGATCTATGAGATACAAAAAATATTGAATCCTAAATATTTCTTCTACATACAATAATGGTTCACTACTATTAACTCAATCATATTATTTTTTTCTACGGATAACTCTTTTTTTGAATAAATATGGGTTTAATACTAATTTTTGTGGTAATTTCCTTAATTTTTGCCATAGCATTAACAAATCCAGTTTCTTTATATTTCTTACAATAAGAAATTAATGCAGTTAGTCACTTACCTCAGTCATTGCACCATCAATTTACATATAATTTGACTGTAAACTATATTCACCACATGCAATATGTCAAACAAATAATAGTAGATAGCAAAAATTTAAAACTACTAAGATCATTCAATACTAAATATTTAGCTTCACTTTGAATCAATGAATCATTATCATTTTCACCCACTTCCAATAAAGATTCTCGTATATCCATAATAAGAAATCGTATTGCTTTAATATTCTCAAACACGACTTTCCCATCGAGTTGTTGATAAGTGTTTTAGAGATAAAACTTTCACATTATTTTTTAAAATATCCCTCCTCTTTACAGAATTAGCAAACAAAGAATACAAATGTTGCTAGTATTCGGAAAAAATTTAACCTTCACCGAATTATTTTCAATATCACACAAAACAAATTAAGACTATGACAAGCACATGGTGTATAAAATGCTCTTCTACTTTAAAACAATTTGAGGAAGATGAAACGTACCTTAGAATTATTGACATTTGTTCTTGATGGCTAGCATCGGGAGTGCAGTCCAAAATCATGGAAAAATATTTTGCTTCTTTAACTTTCATAATTATTTTTGACTTAATTCTTGAAGCAATCAAAAGAATCAGTTCATTTTGAATACTGGGACTAAGATAATGATGATGAATACAGTACTTCCATTAGTAATCCTAACAAATGCTCTTTTAGCATAAGATCAAATTCGCAACTTAATAAGAGACTTGGCAGGCACTCTAGTCAGTATAGCCATCATTAGATAAAAAGGAGCGAATTTAGCTTACTAGGGTTTGCTTCTTACACATCGTCCTCGTCACGATCTAGATCATTAGGCGATGATTCCTTTTCCAAAGTTCCAAATGCTTTTTGAGATTCTAGTGCAATTATCGATCTGCTGCAGCTACAAAGGAACCAAATTTCCACTGAACAAATAGAAATTCCAGCATAACAGAGCTTGATTAACTAAGATTTCATAACAGAGCTATATTTCATATCTGAGTATTCAAACCCTAAATTAAAAAGCTTAAGCTGAAAGATAGAACATTCAAGAAAAGCCTTGAAAAGTGAAAACAGAGTAAAGCTTTTGCATCTACAAGGAGAAAACACATCAACGAGTGGGCTGAACTAACATGGTTATAGTTTTAATAAGGAGGTCAGAGTTTTATATATATTTAAAAAAAAAAAAAACTTGAGGGGCAAATATGAAATTAAGATTAAAAAGGGAATTTAGGTAAAAAGTGAAAGATATAAAAAAACCATTCCACGAGACTTCGATCCCGATTGGTTGTGGCTGTAGCTGTTAGAATTTTGGCTGTAAGTTTTTCAGCTGAAACCATAGAATTTTAGTTGTACATTTTCTTGGCATGTAACGGTAGAATCAAACCAAAGCTTGATTGGTAAATATAGCTGTGATTTTAAAAAAGAATTAATTACGGATTTTGCCATTTTTCATAATGGCATTTGTGGATTTTGCCATTTTTTGAATAGTTTGTGGATTTTGCCATTTTTCAGGCTCCAAAAATATGATTTAACATGTGTTTCACTCATTATGTTTGGGTTTAGTCGGTTCCATTTGTTCTTAGGGTTTAGTATTTGGTATAAAGTACGTATATTTGCAAAAAAAAATCATAAATACGTACATTTTTTAAGTGTTAAAAATGGCAAAATCCGTAAACTATTCAAAAATGGCATTTTCGTAAGTTTTTCCAAAAAATGGCATTTTAGACAATAATCCCTTTAAAAAATGAAAAAAATATGGCAGATATTAGGTGTAATAAGAAAATAAATCTATTGAAAATTTCATATTATTGATAGTTAAATAAATAATAATATAAACACTAAAACGTGCGAACACACCATCTAAGACGTAAATAAACTTACTAAATGAGTATATAAACATTTTCTTATAAACTTACTAGCTTATAAGTTTTTGACATAATAATAAATCAATGCTCAAACTTACTTATAAATATTTCATGTGGAAGACAAGCAACAAAAAAGAAAAAAAAATCACGACTTATTGGTTATATACACACAAGTCGAAAGGGAAAAAGATGACGAAAGTTATGTATGTACCTTCTTTTTTCTGCTAACTTGCTGGCTGCTTGATCGATTTTAAAGATTGATTAAATTTATACGTTTTTTTGCTAGGTTTTCGTATCAAGTTGGTTTTTAAATTAACGTTCATTAAAAAATATATAATTCTCTACAGCTCAAAAGTGATGGCTGTAGGTTTTTAAGTTTCAACAGCCCAAAAAAAGGAAAAAAGACAAAATGGTTGTAGACTTAAGAAATATGTGCAAAGCATGATTGTTGTGGATTTAGAGCTATTGACCAAAATACGACTGTAGAAAGATTTCAAAGCCACAACCAATCAAGCACTTTCTCGGGAAATGTCTTTGGTCAAGTGGTTAATTCCAACTTTACTTTTTCCACCGGTGTTTGACTCCACTAATTAAGTCGCGTTCTCCCGTATAATAGGATTTGGCTATGGATTGAGCTTTGTCAATCCAAACATGTTAAAGAAAAAAAAAAATCAAGCCCTTCCTCACTTTAGGAATTTTTGTCTCTTGACATTTGCTTTGTTGTGGTTACGCTAAAATGGCGACGGAACATAATTAAGATGGTAAATATTTATCACGGTTTTGGGTTTTGATGCTTAGATTCGTTTATGGTTTGAGTTAAAAGAAGAATTTAGTATATTGTTATGTATTTGAGTGGAAGGAGTCCAAATAGCATTTATTACGGTTTTGAGAGTCCGATTACTGCTTTATGCATATATTCGTTTATGGTTTGAGTAAAAAAAAAAAAAGACTTTAGAATATTATTATGGCTATATTTGAGTGGATCAAGTCCAAATTAAATTTATAATGATTTTGAGAGAGTCCGATTAGAGATTTATGCTTAGATTGGTTTATGGTTTAATTTGAGTTAAGCACACAAGGCGTTTCTTCTCTAGCACTTAACAGAGAGAGACCCTTTCGCTTGAATCTGAAAAAGTGATCCGACCCCAATCAATTACTTCCTGCTTCTGAGAAGCATACTGCTGGTGATTCTTCAGACACAGGAAGCTCTGCAAAGAAAAGTCTCAACTTTGATTCTCTGACCCAGGATGCTGATATGAATGCTCCCCGCATTACCCCTGATCTTCCGGTTTCAATAATGTCTCTAGACAAGGAGAAAAGCTGGTATGATCAAACTGTTGAGGAAGAGGAAAAGGAGGCTCGAGACGCTCCTCTCGAAACAAGATTCTCATCGGCAATCCAAATTGGGGAAGACCCGAGTGCTATCCCAGCAATTCTAGATCCTGGCACTGAAGAAATGGACTTCGAAGGTCATGGAACCTGGGAAGAAGAAGAGGAATTCATGAATGAGGATGTCGATGATACGCATTAAGGAGTGACGGGAGATGGCGACATGGACTGGGAGGAGAATAATCATGAAGAGGATCATCTCGATCTTGACTGGGTGGAAGAGGAAGACGAAGACTACTGTGAAAACGAGAATTCCATGTCAGGAGCAGGAGAAAATTTGGAGACTGATGATCTTCTGGGTGACGAAATGGAAGACCTTGAGAGGAACAAGGAGAAGTTGAATAACGAGAAGAAGAAGATTTGTGGCTCCCCTGTTTCAGATTTGGGCTTGGGCCCATCTAAATCTCAAGGAATGAAGAAGGAAAAAATCAAGCGGGCTTTAACTCCTAAAGCCCAATTCGGACAGACTAGTGTCCAAGGTGCTGCGTCCAAAATATTATTCGGCCTTCATGGACGTTTCTCACCTAAATTTGTGTGATCTGTTTGATTTCACGTGAGTAAATTTGTGTGATCGAACCTAATAAACCTTTATTAATATAAATTCATATTCGGTTTCGATATAAGAATTTACATATAATTCGTAACAAAATCTGTTTGGTTTCACGTTGATCAATTTTTGTAACACACCGAATAAAAATCCGCTAATTAACTTTTTTACATCATGACTTATAAATTTTCAATTTAGAAAAATATTGTAAATTAGAAGAAACACCCTAAATCAAATTATTTCTATTTATTTATGTTTTTATATAACGATTTGTTTAAATTTAAACTAAGTTTATTAATACTAGGGTTTATTTTACCATTTATAAAAAGGTCAGGGTTTAAAAATCCACAAAAAAAGTTGAGGGTTTTTTCTATGTTTTTAAGAAAGGTAAGGGTTTTCTACCCATTTTTCCTTCGCAAACTATGCCAATAATCATGTCTACCTTTTATATGTAGATTTAATTGGGCGTGTTTTGAATGTTGATAGCGACGCCGAAGGAAAAACAATCAATATTGATGGAAATGAAATTTACTTCGATCTAGAAGACAAAAAGTAAACGTTTTACACTAAAAAATTAGTTCTAAATTTAATAACATAAATGTTAAATAACGTTCTTTCTGTTTTTTTTAGTTGTGAGCGTCTCCAATGTCGACTACCGTGGTTTTTTGTCAACAAATTTCTCGCTAAGTGGAGACAATGTATTGATGATTTTAACATATGTATCTTCAGATTTGTAAAAACTAAAACGAGTGAAAGTATACAAATGGATGACATATAGATGAATGGTTGGAAAATTTTGAGTTGAACAAAAAAAGTTAAACATCATTCAACTCATTCCTCTGCGAAATAGTAGTTGAAAGGATTGAACAATTTTCCTTCATAGGCTGCAAATGGTTGACACAAAATACCAAGTTGAAACAGTTGAAAAAAAGATTCAACTCATTCAACTTAAAAACCTCAAAAATTGAACAAATTCTACAGCAAAAATGTTCAACTCATTCAACTACAATTTTGTAGATGAATGGATTGGATGATTTTCAACCCAATATTTTCCAACTTAATATATTCAACCCATTCAATTTAAAATAACCATTTGTAGCATAATCTATTCATTTTTCCAACTTTTTGGGTTGAATGGGTTGAATCAATTTTCCAACTTATTCATCTCAAATGATAAAAAATGAGATGAATGGTCATTCAACTCTTTCAACCTTTTATTTTAAGTCTACCATTTGCACCCTTTGTTTTGCTTTTGTTATCTAACATGTAAATTTGGGGTTTTGGTCATTAAAAATATATTCATTTGATAATTAAGGGACAAAGAATACACGTGTTCGCAGCTTCTATTCAATCATTCTTGTGATGATGTGTCAGGATGCTCGCTCCTCAGCCACCAGACCAGCAGCTCGCTCCTCAGCCACCAGACCAGCAGCTCGCTCCTCAGCCACCAGACCAGCAGCTCGCTCCTCAGCCACCAGACCAGCAGCTCGCTCCTCAGCCACCAGACCAGCAGCTCGCTCCTCAGCCACCAGACCAGCAGCTCGCTCTTCCACTGGTTTATGCTCCTCTACCACCAGACCAGCTCGATGGCTTTGATTTTGATATCAACTTAGCTGAATTTGCCAATGCTCCTCTACCACCACACCAGCTCGATGATGACTACCTTGATTATGATGCACTTTTCAATGATGAGAATTCGGGAATTCCTTGAGGATATGACCATGACCAAATGGGGAAGAGTGGTTATTTAGTTTTATTACCCAAAACAATTCTACAATAACTTTGTTTCGTTTTGTCATGACTTTTGAGTTCTTTTTTATTTGTTGATGCACAATGATGTTACTTTCCCAAAAATCACCATTCCCTTAATTTAGAATTCGCAGCAAAAATAAGATCATATAGTCGTTGATTCTGTGTTCTTATAATTACAAAACAGAGCAGAGAAACAAACTTAAACATGGACACAAATAAATAACATCTCAGCAATCCCCGAAACACCAGTCGTCAAATCTAAGATAACAAAGTTACAAGTTCTCTTGTTGCTGAAAAACAACGCTCTCTTACACTACGATCCATGGAATCATGTTAAATTAGAGGATCCTTAAATAAATAAATAAATAAAAAGGCCAATAATCTCGATGTGCGCATAAGAACAAAACACAATCACCCATTCCTAACTCTTCTCATGTTTTTTTTTCCAACACTGTAATAGAAAATTGGAAGGGGTTGAACATTGCGTGCACCATTCATTCATGTTTCTCGGGGTCTTCTTGAAAATCAATATCAACCACAAATATTGATCTATAACTGCGAGAATGCCATGGAAAGAAGCCAAAGAGTGTGAGTGGTCACTAAAGCTTTTGGGAATCGCTTCTATAAACAATTGTTGTCTAAGGCTTAACAATTGACCTTCTACACATACTTTAGCCTTAAACAACAATTGTTTATAGTTTTTACGCTCGCTTCTCTGTGACTTGAAGAAGAACAGGGATAATATTTAATATTACAACAAATTAACTAAATGATAAGGCAAAACTTTATACTGATAAAATCATAAGTACATTAAGTAGTTTCAACTCTCAATGATTTCTTCTAATTTTCATATTAGATTTGAGTAAAATGGTGAATAAGATGTTCTTCAATATGTATGTCCACAATTGATGCAAATGCATAAAAGAAAGAGCAAGGGAGAAGTTGATTATGTGACATAGAGTCATTCGCAAGAGCATTCAAAGAGAAAAAAAATTGGTAGGCATATATATAAGGTTTATAACAAGGTTTTGTTTACGAGATATCATTCACACATGACTTGAAATGCATGATGTGATTTATTGGTATTTTTCTTTGAAATGTTTCAAACTACAATTGAGTAAAATGCTTATAAGTTTTGTTATTTAAATTTATAATTATACATTTTTTCTTTATGTCACTTTAAATAGTAGTTACCAATTGTTCGTCACATCCTATGCTCACAAAATCTTCAAAAATTTGGTTCATTAGATTCAACTCTATGACAATCTAACTTTTGTAATTGCAACAACATTATCAACATATATAGGTTTACTTATATTAGGAATAACTATTGCATCTTTATATTACTGGTTATGGTAATTTCTAGGTTTTTGTTTAAGTTTTTCATCCCTTTGGCTATGATTATCTCCTCGGTCTGGAGTAATTGTTGTTTCTTGGAGGTTCTATGAACTCGCTGAATTTGTTTTATTTTTATCCTTGCCGGCTTTGTGTATTTGTAGACTTAAAATATCAATACAGTTTTTTGTAGATTAAAATAAATAAATATGAAAGAAAAATTTGAAACTACCTAAAACCTTTATTGTAAAAACATAAAAATGAAGTATTTACGGAGTGTACATAAAAGTGTCAAAAATATGGGGAGAAAATATTGTAAAAAGTGTAATTAAAATATGATTATGTATTTATAAGTTATACTCTATGAATACTGATTCCCTTCCCCATTGCGCAACAACCTTAGGTGCATTGATGAAACTTAGTTTCTCAGATCTAACATCGAAACACACCATAACTGTGTCATCAGTTTTGGTTAAGCTAGCAGCATAGTAGAGAAACCCGTTGATGCATACATTCGATTCAGACGCCCTATAAGGTAAAGGGGTACCTTTAATGTGTCTCCATGCTTGACTACCTCCCAATGTTAATACCTTGTGCTTCAGATGAGCAATAGGATCCTCCCAAATTTTGTTATCCCAGGCTAATGATTTGTATTGATCATCAATGGGATCGTAACACACAAAAGCAATGTTACCGGGAAACGTAAGGACTTTCTCCGTGCTAGGGTTACACAACAACCACTTAGTGCCTGCTAGAACAGCGAGAATGCCATGGAATGAAGCCAAAGAGCGTGTGAGGTTACAAAAGCTGTAGGTGGGAACTGCCATCTCGAAGGTGGGTAGCAAAGAAGAAGACTCTTGTCCCTCGTCGTGTGAAAATGAGAAGAAGAAGGTAAGCCTCTCCTCAGGCGTGCCGAATACACCGTTACTAAAACCGACAATAAACCGTGATTGCCTCGAGGAAGTAGCGTAGTAGGAATCAATGAATCCTCGGCTTCGGATGATGGAAGACCACATCTTTGACACGCATCGCAACTTGGTAAGAGACTTGGCAGGCACTCTAGTCAGTATCGCCATCTTTAGGTCAAGAGGGAGCGAATCTAACCCTAACTTACTAGGGTTTGTTGTGTCTTTCTCATCTTCCTTGAGTTTATTTTGGTGGCTCTTCTTCATATGAGACTTGGTAGGCACTGTAGCCATCTTTAGATCAAGAGGGATTAAATCTAAATTACTTGGGCTGCTACAGGATCTGTCCTTGTCATCGTCCTTGCGTTTCATGGCGGCTCCTGAAGAAACCCTAAATGCGTGTTAAGTGTTAACCCTGGCGAGTTAACTCTCGGTCTCAGTCTCGATAGGCAATAGTTAGGAGGAAGGACCATGCGTGCAACATTCTATGATGAGAAGATAGATATTCAGTACGAACGAGTTGGCTCCAGTTCAAGATGAAATCCCTGGCTATATTAACAACTCCCAAGACAAACTTTGCTATACAGTAAAACCTCTATAAATTAATACTCTATAAATTAATAACCTCTCTAAATTAATAAATTCATCCGGTCCCGAGTTGGGACCAGTGTAAAATATGACATAAATCGATAAATTAATAAGATAATAATTTTTTTGAAAATCCTATGTAACATATGGTCCCATCTACATATCATAAATTAATAATTGTATAAACTTATCAATATATATATATATATATGTGTATTTAATTTAATATATATATGATATAAATTTATATATGTCATATATGAATTACTATGATATATATTTAAAATGTTATATGTAAACGTTTTAATGAAATATGAATCTATTATTCGAAAAAAGTTTGTGTTATTTTTAAACTTAATAATTGATTCTCTACTTGTAATTAGTTTTTAAAAGATATTGTTTATCGATATTGTAATTAGATAGAAATTTTTTAAGAAATTAACAAATTATAAAAATCTCTCTATAAATTAATAATTATTAATTTATCGATAAATTAATACTTCTCTAAATTAAAAAAATTTTTTGGTCCCAACATTATTAATTTATAGAGGTTTTACTGTAGTTTGCTTTCACCTCTTGATGACACAAGATCTAATAGGCTTGGTGGATCTTAAAAAGAATGAAAATATATGAGGCCCAATAAGCATCTCTTTGGGAGGGGAAGAAGTTGATAACCTCTGTAACTTCCACCTAATAGTTATAATTTTTAACAGTTTTTATCTATTTCGTTTAGTTGGACCACAAAAAGTTACAATTCGAATTTATTTTATTCTTATTCGTATTTTAAAATGTAGAAACTTTTAAAGAGAAAAAACAAGATGTTCTTTAAAAACGTGTCTCAATAAAATCATGAATTTGTTCCCTAGCTACCAAAGTGTCTAGTCTACTATCTACATGTTTATTCATATACACATCTTATCTATAAATAGTATATAAAATATTAAAATTAGAAGATTTGTTATACACTTATACTATTGTTTCTTTTCTTCCACCATTTATTTTGATATTGTTTGTTTCCACTAGATATTAATTTCGCCATAAAGAAGTGTCAACGTAGGGAGGAGTGGGCACCTACCACTAAAGGTCACAACACACATAAAAATGGCCAATCTTTCTGACACAACCATATGTGGATGACAATTTCGTCACGTGCACTAAATATGTGAAATAAAGATCACTGTTAAGACATTATCATAATAAAGCCTGAGAATGGGTAGGGTATAAGATTGTGTGGAAACAATTTAAACAAGTATGTTCTCTTACCAAAATTGGGACCAACATTTGCATCTTAAGGTTATGTGAATTGTTTGGTAGGTAGCACTCATTTACAGTAAAACCTTTATAAATTAATAATGTTGGATTATAATATTTTATTAATTTATAGTAATATTAATTTATCTATAAATGAATAAATATTAATTTACACTATGCATTAATATTTATTAATTTATATAAAATTCTTTTTTAGTTTTAAAACATTTTAAAGAATTGTGAATTAAAAACATTTGATCTAAATAAAATTAAGGTTTTATGTTATAAATTTTATAGTTTTAGACTTAAATATTTAATATTTCGAAGAGAGAACAATTTTTTTTTACAGTGAATAACAAATATTATAGAATTCACATATACAAACAGAATACATAAATTCAAACTTATAAATAATAACATCCATTGTTGTATTTAAAAATCTATACGATTATTAAAACAAAAAAATATGCATATTCAAATTTTGAAAAATTACTAAAAATTTTAGTTATTTTTATGAAAACATTAAAAATATTATATATATATATATATATAGATGCAAATTTACATGATTATTAATTTATCATATTATTGGGACCATATTTTCATAGAGATATCAAAAAAATTATTAATCTTATCGAATTTGGTTAATTTATACACTGCCCCGACTCGGGACCAGCAAAATTTATTATTTTACCGTGTTTATTATTTTACCGTGTTTAATATTTTATCGTGTTTATTATTTTATAGAGGTTTTACTGTATATGCTAGTCTGATAAATCTGGTCCCCAACTCAAACCTTCCAATTTCTGCATACTTTTCACTTGATCCTTAAGAGAATCTGCAATGTAGATGAGAATGGTGCCTAGATTTGGAATTCTTCGTATTGCGTAGATTTGCTTTACATAATCCCCATCCGAAGTAAGGATGATCAGCACACCATTTACATAGTTATAAGACCAATCTTTCATCTTTTCATGTATGTCAGTTCTTAGTTCTTACTGCTGAAACAGAAGAGGCAGTGGTGGTGGGAACAGCAAAAACACCGGTGGTGTTTGGCATAGATAATATATGTTAGG